TATAATATAAATTATAATATAAAGGTTTAAAAAGTAGATACAGAAGGACCTTAATGGAATATAATATGGTGTGCTTTTAGATATTTTTATGAAAAGTCTTATATATCCTGGACAAACTGCACAGGGAACGAGCCTAACTTTGTAGAGGCTTCTGGCAGAATACTTTTAAAGCAATCAACCTGTTTTAATTTTCTCAACCCAGTTTTATTGTCAGCAACTGCGGCCACATGCTTAAGGTGACAAAATTTACTATTTTCAGAGTCGAGATTTGACAGATATTGTCACAATATTCAATGCTTCCTACTACCCCATGTAAAAAAAAAAGATATAAAATATGTATTTAATTTTTATTACTTACCCAATTGTTTAGGAGGAGAAGGGAAACTGGAAAGAAAACGAGAACCAAATTATAATCAGACTAATATGAACCCAGACATCCATTCCTTTTTATTGGAGGTATAAAGAGGTAATAGCCCAGAGGCTTAAAAATAGACTAATTAATCTGTTGACCATTGTTCCTTTCTTGTCCTCCATTTTCCATTAAGACCTAGTTTCTGTCCATCAGTTTGGAAGTTTTTGAACCCCAGTGTTGGTCAAAGACATCAAGAGTCAAAACGCTTAGTTGCCTTATTTTTCCCACAGCCATTAGACCAATGTTTTCATATTTGTTCTGAGGTCTGAGAGTATGTTGCACCAGATTAAATTAAATGGACTCAGTATTTGGGAGTCCTTAAGACATTCATAGCTCTGGCTCAAAACTGTTTATTTGAAGTGAAGAGTAAAACACAGAGATCAAATTTACAGAGCTCATTGGAATATGACCAAACTTCCCCATATGTATTATACATCCACAAGCAGGAAAATGGTGAATAAGAGAGGGACCTTCATTTAACTATGCAGTGAGAGCTTATTAGTACAAGTGATCTAAAGTGAAGATTAGGTGGCACTTAGTTGCAACAGAAAAAGACCTTTGTGTTTATCACTTTCTGAACTATGACTTCTAAAGATATATGTATATTTACAAATACACACACTCCTCTGAAAGTATGGTACATAGGACAGAAATAACTAGAGGGTGAGGATCACTAATTCATATGATTCAAAATCAGAATTGGGTGGCATGTAATTGAAAAAAGCCCTTCTTTTATTTCTAAGTAAAGATTATATTTGAGTAAGTTGCTCAAAGATTTCTTGTTATGTTTTCTTAAAATTTCACACTTTTTATTGAGTATTGACTGTAGCTTTTGTGTTTTTGCCTTAATGAAATAATTTTGGGTTTAAAATTAACAATGCTATATAGAATTAACAGCTTAGATGTTAGCTAAATATGGTGAATACATTAGATGCATATAAACAGAATGGTTGCTGGGGATTTAGCTCAGTGGTTCGGTGGCTTGCCTTGCAAGCACAAGGACCCGAGTTCAATCCCTGGCACCAAAAACAAAAAACAAAACCAGAACAACAAAAAACAAACAGAATGGCTTTCCTGTGCCAGGAAACAAGATTAAAATCCTTCAAATTCATGGGTATGGATTTTATACTACCCTTTAGTATAAAGGGGCTGGGAAGAGAAAAATTTTGCTTTAGTTTTTATTTAGACAGTTTTAAAAATTTTTTAAGTTTTATCTGTACATGCTTACAGTTCATGTAGTTAACAATTGCTTTGGGGGAATGGTTATTATTTAAATAAATTTAAGATATATATTTAGAAAAATCTTAGAGAAATAGATATCAAATAACTATTGTGGAACAAAAACCTTAAATACTGTATGTAGATAAAAGAAATTCCAAATTGTTCTTTATTTCTCAAAAAAATTTTTAATAGCAAATAGAAGCCAGGTGCAATGATACTTTAATCCTCACATTTGAGAGGCTGAGGCAGGAGGATTGCCTTGAGTTCCAGGCCAGCCTGGGCTACTGCTACATAGTGAATTCAAGGAGAGCCTGAACTACATAGTGAGACCCTGTCTCAAACAAACAAACAAACAAACAAACACAAAAGGGATAGAGAGAGAATATACTTTAAGAGTGGTCAATTTAAAGTACCATATATTTTACTATTTGTAACATTGGAATTGGAATTATAAACTTAAGATGAGGTGCCACTAAAAACATCCTAATAAATGGGGTGCTTGGAATGAATTGTGAAGTGTGTACACGTGTGTACATGCTGTGTTTCAATGGATTTTTGTGGGAAAAGTAAAATATATCTTTGAGTTATATGATAGTTTTTGAAGACCTTGGGTTTCTCTTATTATTTGATGAATGAATTTAAGGATGGCACCATATATGAGTCTAAGATGGTTAATGGAACTTAACAGTCAGATGACTTAAGCCTATCATGATTTGATTATTGGTTATAGAATATTAGTAGCATTCAATTAACATTAGTGTAGTTATTTGCGCTGAATTCGGTTGGTTGACTCTTACGATGAACCTTCATTATTGTCTGACTCAGAGACTTTACGTTTCTCTCGTATACTTTTCTTTTTGTCATCTTTTCCCTTTAACTTCTTCAAAATTCCCCAGGACCACGTGCTACTCTTCTCTTCAACCTGTAGTGTGGAACTTTGGAGCAGGCATTGATCAGAACGTAGTAATCAGCAGAACATGAAGATATCACGTGGACATTCAGATTTTTTATTATACTATATTGATCATTGGGGAAGTGAATAGCTTGTTGTACTCAATACAGTGGTGTCATTAAGTGTATAGACCATTGTGTTTGAATATTGTTCTTATTATGTTAGCCATTTTTTTCCTATTGAGTGAGATTTCTCCTGATTCTTAAAATACAAAGCTAAGTAAGACTGAGCTAATTTAACTTTATGATTAGAATTAATTAATTAGTAGATATTAAATTTTAAATGTGCCATTTCAAAATGGAAATAAGAAAATTTATTTTATTATTAATAAAATAGATGATTGTTATAAATTATTATTATAAGTAAAAATATATTCTTTTTTTTCTCATTGAATTTATTGGTATATTTTAGGGATATGGTACAGTTACATTAATTATTGGGATCTTGTACCTCTACATGACAGGTCTTGGTTCTCATTTTTTTCCCCTTGTCCCTGCCCTCCCTTCACCCCCTCCTCTCCTCCCCCTTTACAAACACTTCATTTCCTCACATTTTTTTCTTTTCCCTTACTAGCTTTCCTCTACCCTTCCCACTTTCCCTACACCTTTAGCCCCTTTCTTCCTATTTCACATTGTCCATTATATCATTAGGATCTTATGTACTATTACAGTTTATTCACACCAGAGAAACTTCAGTATTTACATGTGTGACTTATTTATTTCACTTAGGAGTATATCCTCTATATATATCAATTTTTAAAATTTTTATTTATTTATTTTTTTGAGACAGGGTCTCACTACGTATTTGAGACTGACCTGGAACTCACTATGTAGCCTAGGCTGGTCTCGAACTCACAGCGATCCTACTGCCTCAACCTCCCCACTGCTGGGATTACAGGCATGCGCCACCATGCCCGGTTTAGTAAAACTAAATTCTTACAATAAAAGATTAAGTATTTACTAGTAGTCTTCCACAGACCCTTTTTTTTTTTTTTTTTTTTTTTTTTTTTTAGAACTGGGGTCCTTGTGCTTGTGAGGCAGGTGGTGGCAGCACTGCACTAAATCCCTGGCTCATAGAAAGTTCCTTTATTCCACTTCTTACTGTTATCATACAAGAGATAGCCATATAAGTGATAAACTTTCCAGATTGTTGTAAATCATTGATTGATAAATAAAAGATTGGAAAAACTTTGAAAAAGTCTGCATTGTCTTACTTCATTCCTCTTATTTCACTTTTTCTGTGCTAGCTAGTGAGGTTCTTCTGTACAACCTAGCACTCATGATTCACTACTGCTATAAAAGTAAACATTCAGATCATTTGGGGAATGTAATAAACAGAATGATTTTCTGCTTCTTATCCTAACTGAAAATAAAAACTATATTTCCATATTGATATAATATTTTCTAAAAAAAGAAATACACTGATTATTCTTACCCATCACTAGTGTCTTCCTCTTCTATCCCATCATAAATGTCATCATCGGGTGTTGGGAACACGCCTTCTTTTGGATTATGGAGAAAATCTTTTGTTAATTTTATTATTGGGCCACATAGAAGTCACTCAGATTTTAATAATAAATCTACTTCTTTTCATTGCAGAAAACATCCTTATTTCATATTGACTATTTAAATAAAAATGTCCTTTAATTTCCCACTCACATAGACAGTAGGTAAATTAATTGCTGATTATTTTATAAGAACTTATAGGGCTTAATTTATAGTAAAAAGAGGAAGCATAATAAAAGGCACTTTGGACTTGAGATGAAAGGAATGGGAAAGAATAAGCATGAGAAAAAGTAAAACCAAATGCAGCCAGAGCTTGATATTTATTGTGGAAAAAGAGAAGTGAGGAGGTGACAAGAAAAATATAGTTAACAGTGAGTGATCATAAAAAGATAGCGATCAAGATAAAGTGAAGAACCAAGTTTGTGGAGCGTGCCTATAATCTCAGCTAATGTGGAGGCTGAGGCAGGAGGATCACAAGCTTCAGCCTCACCTCAGCAACTTAGTGACTTACCTCGAAAGACCCTGTCTTAAAAAAAAAAGAAGAGCTGGGGACCTAACTCATTGCAAATGCTCTGGATTTAATCCTCAGTATTAAAAAAAAAATAAAGATATAACTAAAGACAATCAAATGTAATGAAAGGTAAAGGTGGTAGCCAAAACAAAGAAAGAAGTAAGAGGTGACATTATAACGATATGTTTTAAACTTAAACCCTTTCTTGTTTCATTTATTATGCTATAATCTTCAGGAAGTTTGCTGTTTGATAAAATATTTAACAAGTGTTTATTGAGCAGCTTCTATGTGCAGGAAAATGTATGAAATTCAGCTCTAAGTATGAGTGCTTGAACCCTAAAAGGTATTGTTTAAATCCTTCGTTTTGTTCCTGAGAAGTTCAGGGATCTTTAGGAGTCATGGTTAAGGTGACCATACAAATTGTCATCTACAGAAGGGTATTAGTGGGAGTGAAGGAGGGATACTACTAATAGTTGTGCTTGGACAGTTGGCATAAACCCAGCCTGCCCTGGGCACACTATAAGTGGGTTCTCCCTAGATCCATGACTAACTTGGGAGAAAGAAATGACTTTATCAAAGTGATATGGGGACCAGGATGAGAATCCAGGTCATTGACTCTCAGCCCAATGTTCTTTCTCTTCATTAAGATCTCCATCATTATTAGCAAACTAAAACATTAATATTCTGTAAATATTCTCAAAAATGTTGAAGATTGTAAAGAAATATGCTGAAGACTTGTAAAGAAACTTGTAAACTCTGATATAAAGCATGTAGCTTACCTCCACTTTCACTCTGACTTTGGCTAGGAAAAAACAAAACAAAGCAGAAATATTAAGTTAATAGATGATTTATTTAGCTCTCAGGAAAGAAAAAGTACGAATATTGAGCAGTTATATAAAAAAGCAATAATATTCAAGTTACAAATTATCAGCATGTCCATATGAAAAGAAAAAAAATGTTTCCTATCACAATACTTGTATAACCACAAGGCAACATAACAAAAATAAACCACCACAACAGAAAAAGAACCAAGTAAGTTACAATATTGCATATGATATTGTAAACAATAGAGTTTACTTTTAACATTTTCCCACCAGGCAATTTTCAGATTATGCATTGTTATATCATTCCGTAGATGGACTATTAAAATGTTGCCCGAGAGTGTTAATCCAGAAGTCATCATATAGAGCAATTATTATTGCATTAAGTACAATTCTATTTCCGTATCTTAGAACCAAAACATTTCATTCTTCGCCCAATGGCATTAAAAATTTTTAAAGGGAAAACATTTTAAAAATTGAAGTGGCCCCTGACTCTCTAATCATATTGTGCCTATTTACTTCCATAACATTCTGTACTTTTTAAAAGCTTTTATAATTATGTTTTGTGCCCTTGTCTCCCACTTAAGTAGAAATTCTGTAAAAGCAACAGTAATGCAGACAGTGAAGACTAGGGGAAAAAAAAAAACTTCAGAAGTCATCTATTTATTCAAATCCCTTATTTTGCAGAAAAGAAGTTGAGACACTGAGAATCTGAGTTGACCAAACCCACTTCTGTACCTAACTGCACTCTCTACTTCCGTTTTTGATCTTCATACTATCTGCGCTCAATAGATATCTATTCAATGTTGCAACTGTACAGGACAATTTTATATTCATACCTGATTTGTTAACTCAGTAGATTAGACTGATCTGGTACAGAACTTTGGTTAATTTATAAATAAAAACCATGCTGTTTGCTGATGGAATTTTGTAGAAAAATCATGTTGAAAATGTTGTATTATATAAAGAAAAAACTGATTTTTATAGAATTTGAAGCGTACTCTCTACTTGCTTCTGTGACATATTCACAACTATTTTCTCTAGCACTTTGAGTGTGAAGCCTGTAGTTAGAGTTAGATGCATTCTGGTTCCTTGCTGCCCCTGGCGAATATTTTTCACTGGGAGATTCTCATGCCAGATTCCTAAAGAACATGACTGTCCTAAACAAGCAGCAAAGCTGCTACCCCTTCTGGATCAATTCTTCAACTTCCTAAAATGAACTCTTTAGAACATAGAACATTGGACGGTTGAAGGAGAGGTAGCGAGATCTGAAGAGGCAGAGCGAAGGATTCGTGGAAAGAAGGTTTGCTATGCGAGGGAAGAGTAATTGCATTTGCGACTCCCATCCCTGCACCATCGCATCTCTTTAGAGAGACTGCTTCAGATGAGAACAGAAGAGGACAGTTCCCAGGGCCCTGAGTTTAAGCCTTAAGCCTGCTCCCGGAGTTTGAAGCACAGCTATCTCCTCATCCCAGAGGAAGGAGGGGAGAGAGGGTAAAGCGTGCAAGGAGATGGTAGGCAGGGAGAGAGGGTTCTCATTATTCTCCTGGCAAACTGCTGGCTGCCCTCAGCATCCTCCTTTTTTCTACCAAGGACAAAGCCGGGTCTATTATAAGAGCTCTGCTAGCAGCAACTGAGGTTTCAATAGTACAGCATGTATAGAAAGATATCCATCTTTAATTTCCCTATTAAACATGCATATGAAAGGGATAACTGTTAGTAAACTGTGACACTATACTTATTTAAGATACCAAATACTCAAATCATTTCTCTCCTACAACCACACCTTTTTGTTAAGTAATCTTTTTGCTTCATGTCTTCTAGAGTAATGGTATGGATAGACTTCATAAAATAGTAAAAAGTAATAGTAATAGCTTTAGGACATGTTTACCTATGATGGTTAAAAATAACTTTAAGAAATCATTGCTTTCCTATGGATTTTTTTCCCTTCGGCGTGCATACCAGTGTAAATATGTATTTTTAATGCAGGTGAGGTTCTTCAGCCCTCTAAAATGAAAACACTTTTTAAAATACAAGATAAAGTATATAAGGGTGTGATTCAAATATTCAATTGATGATGTGAGGTTAAAGTTCATAAGAGAAATATAATTCTTAAAATGCTTTATAAGTACATTGCTAACTAGATGGTTTTACATTATAAAAATACTGTGTAATTTTGTTTCTCCTGTACAATGTGAATTATGAAGGAAAACATAATTTCACCCAACTAAGGATCTAGCAAAGATTATATTTTTTGAGCTCACAAAGGTTTCCTAATTTCATAAATTGAACAAAGAAAAATGAGTATTCTTAAGTAAACTAGAACATTTTCTCCCCTTTTCTTTTCAACCTGAAGGGATGGCGTTCACAAGAAAGCGAGAGGTTTGAGGAAAGAAGAAATGATAGAAGAGAAATGACACTGCATAGAGGAGAAGAAAAATAAAGAAAGTTCAGAGCTAGGACAAAGAGAAAGAAGAGATGGAGTAAAAAGGGAGGCTGAAGACTGAGAAAAGACAGAAAGGAGATAAAGACTCCTGTGGTTTGAATTTGAATAGCTGCGTTAAGGTTTGATTCCCAGGATGGTGAGGAGGAGGTGCTGTGGACCTCAATAGGCAGAGCCTGTTGGAAGGTACTTAGGGAACTGGGCCTCAGAGGGAACTGTGGGCTCTTGACTTATGCTTTCTCCTTTCTCTCTGCTTCATGGGTTGTGATGTGAGCAGTTTGCTCTGACACTCGCTCCCTGCCACTGCCATCTGGCACACTCACTAGACACCCGGAGTCATGAGGATGTTCATTCTTGGATTGGAAACAGAACCTTGAGTCCAATAAATGTTTTCTCTGTATAACTTAATTGCCTCAGGTGTTTCACTGTAGCAATGTGGAGTTTACTACAGAGGTATGGGGGAGGAGGTGGCCAATCTTACCTCTTCCTCTTCCAGAAACATGTCCTGTTCTGCTTTTGAAGAAAGATAACCCTAATCTAGTGGAGTTAATGCACAATGCAAAGGGATTCCCAGGAATCATAGGGAGCTCAATTTTCACTTTTAAAGGCTAATCGGGAGTTGTAGTAAAACTCATTCTTTTTTCTGTTATATTTTCAAATAGTAACAAAATACGGTACATTTAGTATTCAACTTCAGAGCAAAAGGGCTAAAATTTATATTTTATGTGTTATATTGACAAGACCATCTTTACTTTAGGTATACCACTAAGATCAGATCATAATGAACATTTGATAACTGTGTTTTGAAATGACAAAACATTTGACAATCTGGCAAGTGGTGCATTCTATTTCAAGTAGTACTTGATAGACAAAACCAAAAAGTAAAACAGAAGACTGTGGGGTTTCAAAAGACCTTTCATCCATACTGGGGTGATGGGGAGTCATGATCTAGTTTAGTGACAGCAAGCATCAGGAGGTATTGAAGGTAGTAAAATTCTAGGCTCTTAAAACACATAACCTCTGACAAGGAGGCAGTCTGAGGTGTCTCACAGTTTGTATTTGCACACACCTGTGACCAGCATCCTGCTCAGCAACATCGTCATATACTTCTTGGTCATCTTCAAGGGGTCTTGAGAAAGGCGTGGTGAAAGAGGACTTTTTCCTTTTCAGAGAATCATAATCAATCTCTACTGCAGTTGTTTTAATATAACCATCTACCAAAAAAGGGGTGGAGGAGACTTAAGTTCAGGCAACTGCAACTCATATGTTTTAGAATTGAAAATAAAATAGCATTTGCCCTCTGGCTCTTTAAATAGTCCCTTTATTTGTTGCCACTCTGATTGTAAATCTTCTGCATGGACACATTTTACTATACTCTCTCATTCTTATCCTGTTGAACTTTGGTAAACCTAGAGTCGATTTAAAGATTCCCAAATGATTTACATGGAACATTTTCCCCTTTTAACCTAAATGAAGACTCTGACGACCTTTGGTCCTCTTTGGAATAATACAAAACTTGGACAATATAATAATACACATTGTCCCCTACTAAAAAGAACATGGATGAGGTGAAGATAGAATTTGACTTGCCATTTAGATTTTCCTACTCAGTGACATACCCTGACCTGATGCTTATAGTTATAGTTCTTCAAGGATATGAACATTTAATACTGGATCCCCACAAAAAATCCACTTTGCAATCATAGGGAAATGTGCACTCACATGACCCCCTTGCTGTTCTGCCCAGCCATTTTCCTTCAGGGTTGTCAGTGATACGGATTATTTCAATTTCCTCTCCTTGCTTGAAGCTCAGTTCATTCTTTCCTCCTTTGACATCACAACAGGCTTTTGCCTGATGGATGACTTGAATAGGGCCAGTTAGCTGTAGCAAGAAGAAACAAAACAAAACAAAAACAGGGTTTCTTACTGCTTAGAAAAAAATTAAGGAATGCTGTGTTAGAAAATAAGCCCACAACTTTTTGACCTACCTATATTCAATAGTTATAAACTTTATGTAGAAATTGAAGATAAACATCATTCCTGGTAAGTGTTCAAATAGGAGGAGTTTGGGAAAAACCAGAGGCCAAGCAGGACGAGCCAAGAATAGGCGAACTTGTGCTTGGGGTCTGGGAAAGACTGGCAGAGATCTCTGCAAAGGCAGCCTCTGACAACTGAACACCATCACTGCACAGAAGTCCGTGTGAAACACGATGTGACAGTAGATAAAAATTTTCCCCTCTTTTATTGTGTAGAATGTCTTTTTCTTTTTTGCATTGTATAGACTTTCTTTTTCTCTCTTTTGTTCTCTTTCTCCTTCTCTCTCTCTCTCTCTCTTTCTTTCTTTCTTTTTTTTTTTTTTTTTTTTTTTTTT